AAAAAAAAAAAAGACGCTTATACAATTAGATAAAAATGTGAAGAGAATTACAATTCCATATGATAATTGCTAAAACAAAGTCTCATCAAGCAAACTGTAAGGCAGGGGTATCCAACCCTTTTTTCTCTCTGCTAAACACTGGAAGAATAAGAGTCGTCACGGGCCACACATTAAATACACAAACACTGACATGAAGCCCATTAGGAAAAAAAAAGTCCATGCACACTTTTCATGATTATCTGACACCACAGATAAGCAAACAAGGTCCTCACAAAATCAGCATGTGCCCTATGGACCCCAGGTTGGACACCTCTGCTCTAAGGGGAGTGCTTACAGAAAGAAACGTAATGAGTCACAGGTGGCTTCCCAGACAAGGTAACACTGTCCCCTTCAGGAGCAGTAGGGGTTTTCCTGACAGATGGGTGAAGCCATTGAAACCTGAAACACACGACCCTCCCCAAGCTGGTAAGGTCAATGCCAGAGATGAGACTACATAGACAGGCAAACAAAGCCTGAATCAAAAAGTTCTTAAGATTCCATGTGTAATTAATACTATGAACTTTACCTTGTGGTTAATGAAACCCACTCACAGACATGTATAATGTATTACATATGTATTCAAAAACAAACATACATACTCAGTCAGTATATTTGGGATGCTATATATTGCTCTTTGTACATTCACAACACACATGAGCACTTTCGTATTTTGCCAAAAGACTATAGATACCTCCGTTTATACGAGCATTTCCCAAACTCACTTGACCTCACTTTTCCCTGGGGAAATACCTAATTCATCCTAAGAATATCTGTCAAAAAACAGCAATACTAACAATGGAGAATCACTAAAGGGTGTTAGGCAAAGGGGAAACAGAAGATACATACAGAAAATGCCAAAAAATGTTAAGAAAGGAAAAAACTGTATCAGACTTGTAGTACTCAAGTCACATTCGACTTCTGCAATTATAAGAGGCACGCAATGTGACTTGTATTCATCTTTTTCTAAGTGTGTATGTTGAGAATTAGGAAAAAAAAGTTATTGAAGAGAACATATACTTAGAATCCAGAGTCAAGTTTAAAAAAGGAATAGAGAGCTGAATTCAGAGCTACACAGAGAAGTCATAGTTAGAGGTCTCTGCATCGAAGAAAGTACAAGGAAGGAAGGAAAACTGGTAAGAGGCCAGGAGAGTCAATTAGTGAAGAAACCCAGATTTCAGAAAGCAGTTTTTGCTGTAACTTAGTCCACTGGATGAAGAGATTAACTAAGGAGGCCACAGACAGATACAAAAGGCAGAGCTGGGATCACATGCATAATGTCTGCCTTCAGGCCCAAGCTATACCTAAGATTTTTTATTAAATTAATAAACATTACACAGGAAAGAGCAAAAATTAAATTCAATGGCAAAGTAACAAAAGAAACAACTTGGAAAATGAGAAGATCAAGTATATCTTATGATGACAAATGTGGATAAGGACTTCTGCTCATTGCGGTATAGGAGCTGAGAAGGCAAACTCTGGAGAACTCTGAATTTGAATCTCAACTTTGCCAATTAATATGTAATTTACGTGAACTCAGTATCAATGCCATATAGAAAAAACTCAAAATCTGAGTCCTATTTAGGTATTTAATGGATTCAACTTCAATGCCTCTCTCTTTTCAAAATGCCTTCTCTCTTCAAATTGAACCTATCTTCCTTCAAAATTGGTTTTCCATTCCAACTTTATTATTTTGATCACATTCTCCCACTCACTAAAGTTCAGAAATCTTCTAAATATCTTCTTCCCTCCTGGTCAGTACATATTCTCCCATCCCCAAAACTACCAAGTCTTGTTTTCACATCTCTTCTGGAATTCTATGACCACTGGTCTCACATTGCTGTAACATAAAAACCTCTGCTATTACCTCACACTCTGCTCTGCATGCCAAATTATCTTCCCAAAGCTCCCCTGGTTAGGAAAAAAATCTGATAACTCATAGAAAGATTCCCCAATAAGTCATCATTTGTAATAAATGTGTCTGAACTAGATCCCTGCTGGCAGCTAATACTGTTAATAACAGTTTTGTCCAGGCAGGGCAAGGTGGCTCAAGCCTGTAATCCCAGTACTCTGGGAGGCCGAGGTGGGTGGATTGCCTGAGCTCACGAGTTTGAGACCAGACTGAGCCAGAGTGAGACCCCATCTTTAAAAATAGCTGGGTATTGTGGTGGGCGCCTGTAGTCCCAGCTACTTGGGAGGCTAAAGCAAGAAAATCGCTTGAGCCCAAGAGTTTGAGGTTGCTGTGAGCTGTGACACCATGCACTTTTCCAAGGGTAACAAAGTAAGACTCTGTCTCAAAAAATAAATAAATAAATAACATTTTTGTCCTAAGTGAGGTGGGGCTTTCTCAGAAGAGGGGAGCGTATTAGGACTGGTAAAGATCCCTAATTTCCATTCTAGCATCCCTTCTAAAATTTACCACCACCCTCCCATGGTAAGTTTAAA